GGGGGGGGGGGGAATTGGCGGCAATAACAGCTGTCTGGGAATGCAAGCCAATTATCATGTTCCAAAGGGGAAGGAGGCCACGGCTTCTGATAGGTGGAGGGGAAAAAAGTCAAATTTCGAGGGATTTCAAGGACAAATTCGCGGAAAAATAAGCCGATTTAGCGGGAATTTTCAGCCACATTTAAGTTATCAACTATAAAGACATGGTTTAGTCAAGTAAACTATTTAAATTACCTAATAGCATTTAGGGTGACTTTCTCATTTTCTTTATCAGTAAGTTCTGGAATCAAGCTTAAATGAGAAATTTGCGTAGATGCCCAGCCAAACTGGAAAATCACAATAAATGGAACATAGTAAATAAATAGCGCCCAGGTCGATGAGTTCTCGCAGCCAATGCACAGATTGAAAACGAACGGAAATGAACACGCCACGCACGAAACTCCAACAAGGTGCCAGATTTTTCTTCGGCCATATCTGCAGTCCCCAGTTTTATCGGATTCTATTCCAACGAAAGGCGTGGCGAGGGCATCGGCGATTTGTCCAATCAACAGCAAAGTTCCTGCAGCCACGTTTGAGAATTCTACGACCTTGTGAAGGTAGACTAGCAAGTAGGTAAACCACATTGAGGCACACAAGTCATTTAGAATATGGCCAACCCCGTAACAAATTCTTGTTCTCCATGTCATTTTTGGTTTTCCTTCGATACAACGGGCCATTGTAACTGAAGTCTATGTCAAAAAAGGGTAAGACGAGTTAAAGACCTTATAAAAATATATGAAAACACCGCATTAAAGCTTAACGTAAGAAATTCTAGATCTGTACGTGTCACGGAAATTATAAAACTTAAGTCAAATGTATGGACTGTCTCACCTGTATTTAACGATCGCCAAGGAGTAAAATGTTCTTGTATTCTTTTCGTTTCAAGTAATCAACTCAACTACCCTCATTTCTCTAATTTAAAAACTTCATTTCCTTCGTATAACTGGTCAATCACAAACACTGAACTCTTCAACCAAATGAATTTTATTTATAATTTCGCACCGAGATCACGTGAATGTGAGTCATATGATGAACAAAGCCTCCCCACCGGGCTATGGTGGGGAGCCTGTCAGTAGCCATTCAAGCAAAAATCAGCTCTTGCTTTTTGCAAAAACTGTAACTTTAAAAGTTTCACTCTGATTCCATTTACTCGGGCAAATAGCTATTTCCCCTTTTTTTTTCTTATTTGTACCAATCTCACATCCCCATCTTCTGGGGCTTATAATATTCATTGCTCCCCGGGTATGTTCGGTTATGACCATCGAGTTTTCAACGCACGCATCGAATTGCCATCGAACATGTTTTTTCATGCAGCTGAACAAGATAAAAAACAAAACAATAATCTTTCTTTTTATAGGCCTATAGTTATTTATTGTGCAGATGGAGTTACCCCACGCTAAAAGTTATTCAAAACAATGTCCCCGTCTAAATTACGGCTTGCGTCACTTCGGCTCACATGACCAGCACCCCAGAAAAATCTTTTTGTTCGGAAACCGCGTTGGAGCTCACATACTGAACTCGTGATAGCAGCCTGATCGTACGACCTCAGTTAC